GCAGGTTAAATCACCACCACCAGATGTAGACCAAATGAAATGTAAACTTTGCCAGATGGACTATTGTCACACCTGCGTCATTATGTATTGGAGTGCGATAAAAATTAATGAATTTAGAAACAACTCATCAAAATGTTCAAGAAATGGCAAAGTATTTTATCCACGTGGTTATATTGCAGACCATTCTGGAGAAATACCCTGACTTTGCTAGCTGTAAATAATGCATTACCATTTTGTGTGTGTGTGTGTGTGGTGTGTGTGTGTGTGTGGTGTGTGTGTGTGTGTGTGTGTGTGTGTGTGTGTGTGTGTGTGTTGTGTGTGTGTGTGTGTGTGTGTTGTGTGTGTGTGTGTATGTCTGTGTGTGTGTGTGTTGTGTGTGCGTGTGTGGTGTGTGGGTGTGTGTGGGTACTCACCTAGTTGAGGTTGCGGGGGGTCGAGTCCGAGCTCCTGGCCCCTGGGTGTGTGTGTGGGTGTGTGTGAGGGTGTTGTGTGGGTGGTGTTGTGTGTGTGTGTGTGTGTGTGTGGGTGTGCGTCCTTGTGTGTATGCATATATTTGTACGCTCGTGTGCACATGTCCGTGCGTGCGCCCTGGTGTGTGTATGTGTGTGCACGCGCGCTCGTGTGGGTGTATTGACCCACTTAATATTTGTATTTTTTAACTCATTACAATTGTGACCAGGTGTGGACGTATCAGTGGTTCATTACTTTGTAATTTGTTCATGACTGTAACCATGTATAGGAGTGAGGCTGATTCATTACCTTTGTAACTTTCCCTGATTGTGACCAGATCTACTGGAGTTCATTACCTTTGTAACTAGTTCAGCTATCATAACTTTGGGGTCCAGTCACTGGACCCATTATGTACCTTTGTAATCTTTTGACTACCGCCCACAGGATGGGTATGGGGTGCATAATAAAGATATTAAACTAAAGTGTGTGTGTGTGTGTGTGTGTGTGGTGTGTGTGTGGTGTGTGTGTGTGTGTGTGTGTGTGTGTGTGTGTGTGTGTGTGTGTGTGTGTGTGTGGTGTATGTGTGTGTGTGTGTGTGTGTGTGTGTGTGTGTGTGTACTCACCTAGTTGAGGTTGCGGGGGTCGAGTCCGAGTGTGTGTGTGTGTCTGTCTGTGTGTGTACTCACCTATTTGTGGTTGCGTGCGTGCGTGTGTGTGTGTGTGTGTGTACTCACCTAATTGTACTCACCTAATTGTGGTTGCAGGGGTCGAGACTCAGCTCCTGGCCCCGCCTCTTCACTGATCGCTACTGGGCCCTCTCTCGCTCTGCTTCCTGAGCTTTGTCATACCTCTTCTTAAAACTATGTATGGTTCCTGCCTCCACTATTTCACTTGCTAGGCTATTCCACTTCCTGACGACTCTATGACTGAAGAAATACTTCCTATACACTATAATTTGTTCATGATTGTAGCCATGTATAAACGTAAGTAACCATTCTACAGAATTCATTACCTTTGTAACTTGTGAGCTCATTACCTTCGTACCTAGTTCAGCTATCAAAACTTTGGGGGCCCAGTCCCTGGACCCATTACGTACCTCTGTAATCTGTAAATGCCTTTGTAACTTGACATGATTGTGACCAGACCTACCTGGAGTTCATTACCTTTGTAAATTGTGAGTTCATTACCTTTGTAAATTGTGAGTTCATTACCTTTGTAAATTGTGAGTTCATTACCTCTGTAACTTGCTCAGCTATCAAAACTTTGGAGTCCAGTCCCTGGACCAATTATGTACCTCTGTAATCTTTTGACTACCGCCCACAGGATGGGTATGGGGTGCATAATAAACATATTAAACTAACTAACTCTTAGTCTCGTGGGCCCTATCGTACCTGCTCTTAAAATTATGTATGGAGCCTGCTTCTAACCACTGAGATTGAAGAAATGCTTCCGTATGACTCATCTGTTCTTTTAGCTTCTCGTTTCTCGCCTCTCAAAGAGCCACTCCCTGTCTACCTTACCAATTCTCCTGAGTATTTTGTATACCTGGAGAGGGTTTCGGGGGTCAACGCCCCGCGGCTCGGTCTGAGACCAGGCCTCGTGGTGGATCAGGGTCTGATCAACCAGGCTGTTACTGCTGGCCGCACACAAACTGTATGTATGTTGTCATGTTCACCCCTCTGGTTTTTCTGTCCTCCAATGTCGTTAGGTCGAATTCCGTAAGCCTTTTCTCGTAGCTTATGCCTCTTAACTCAGGAACAAGACTTTTTGTATACTTCTGCATTTACTCCTCGCACTGTCAGGTGCCGCTTCCATATTGGTGCTGCACACTTCGAGATGGGCCTAAAGTATGTATAAAGCGTCCGGAATGACTCTTTGATGAGATTCCTGAAGGCTACCCTTAGATCTGCAGACCAGCATTGGATGCAGAGGTTATCTGCGTTATACAGAGCATCAAGTTCACCCTAGGTCTTTCTCTTCGAGTGAAGCCTGCAGCCTCTATCCCCTTAGTCTATACCCCCGTTTCCGGTCTTCTTTCTCCCCCAAACTTAACGTCACTAGGCTCCCTATTTATTAGCACATCCTCTCTTCCCAGGTAAATCTGTCCATGACTCGATAAAGCCCACTGTGTGGGCGAACCGTTGTCAATAAAGGATCGCATTATACTGCACGTGTCTCTTTTTTGAGATGTAAGAAAACATTCACAATATTTCTCTCGTCTGACGATCTAACCTCGGTCTCGCGGCCCCTCAGTGTGTGAGCTGAGGCTGCTGCTGAGCCAAGACTCACTTTTTAACAACTCTTAACTTCTAATCACTAACTACAAACCTGGCTTTTTCACTGGGTTTCACGGAAGTGGCAGATTAAGCATAATTTTTTTCCTGCAGATTTTGCAGTGAGTGCATTACTGCTGATCACCGACCTCTGAGGGTACTGGGCAATCAATACACAAGATGCACTAACCAGTGTACTGGTCATGCTGACTAATATGCTGGTAACACTGACCAGTGTACTGATAATGTTGATTAGACTACTGATAAAACTGTCTAATGTACTGGTAATACTGATTAGCATATTAATAATACTGACCAGTATACTGATAACACTGATCAGTATACTGGTAAAACTAACCAGTGTACTAATAACACTGATCAGTGTACAGTATATTGTTGAAGAACTGTTGATTCAAGGAACTGAAACTGTATCCTCATGACTGTTGACGTGTGTTAGAGCAGTTGTCATAATTCATTACCAAGGTTCTAACCAATTGAAACTATCTTCCACTTCCTCGGATTTATCATGATTACCACCACACATTTTCAATTCCTCAGGTACTTTTTGACTTGGAGAATCGGTGCTTCCAGGTGAATATAATAATACTAGTACTAATAATAAAATATACTACCTGCAGAGTGTTCCGAGGGTCAACGCCCCCACGGCCCCGTCCATGACCAGGCCGCCTGGTGGATCAGAGTCAGATCAATTCTTTCCCAGCGTCCCACAATATAGATCAAGGAACGGGTGGGGACTAAACCCATGGCAAGTGAGTCCTAAAACTCCAGGCCAGTGACACACTGACTTTATTGGTTTATACTGGGCGGATAACCCTCCGGGTTTAAAAATATCGAACTAAATCTTATTTTACGTTACTACTACTACTACTACTTTTACTGCTACTACTGCTGCTGCTGTCACCGCCACCGCCACCGCCGCTGCTGTTAATGCTACTATTATTATTACTGCTATATACTGCCGCTACTGCTACTGGTGCTGTTGCTACTACTGCTACTTTGTGCCGTTGCTACTACTACTCGTCCACTCCCTAACACCAGGATGTACTCACTGGACATTAGTTCCTTGTGTATTTCTCATATTTACCACCACTTATAATATTTGGGATAATTACCAATCTACAACATACAATTGAATCAACTACTACTAATGTGAACATTTTTATTTGTACGTTCCACATATTTATCCATTTACAATTGAGATCATACAGACTTTAATATAATTAAGATCAGCTGATCCAAGCCACTTCGATGCAAGAATTGGACTGTCTCTTTACTTTCTAGAAACCCTAAAATGTGATTACATCCTATTGAAAACAATATTAAAGGCTCCCAAAGCTAGCTAAAAACAACAGATAGTCCCACTTTTACAAAGGGCAGTAAGATAAAACTTCAGGAGTGTAGCTTAAAACTTAATAGTCATAATTTTTTTTAAAAGGTTTAAAATATGTATAACATGAGAAAACTTTAAGATATACAAAACCTTAGGATCGGTTTAGGTTTGTAACGCAGTTAGATGATCTTTGTAAAGACTTGAAGTATAACATGGTTATCTTTTATATTTACAAGTTGATAAAGGTAATTACAGGAAATTTTGTGCATGAGTTTTTGAACAAATGAAAACAAGAGGAACTCAAGAGTTTAGCGGCTACTGTGAAAGTCTCTGTTCAAGTGGGAGTTACGGCTTCCTATCGGTCTAATTTTGGCTATTGAGGGATGTGAAACAGCAGCATGTCTTCCTATGCAGGTTATCCCGAAATTGCATGGACTATGACTCCTGGGTGAATTTGATCATTCTAATGCCAGAAGCAATTTGTCGTCAATTGGATGAGAAATTTCAGTTACTTGTTGAATGTGAGGCAAATAAAATCAGGGTAAAAGGTTCAAAACCGCAGAACAGAGCAAAAAGTAAAGACCTGGGGTGATAGCCGTATGAATCTCACTTCAAACCGAACTTTTTATAAATTTGTTGTATTGTGATAAATAGGTTATTATGGTGATTAGAATTTTCCACTGGTAGCCTTGCATGGATACCTTTTCTTTTTTAGGGGACTTAGCTCTGTTACAAACTGAATGAAGTAGGTTTGTCCAATGTTTAGTGTAAGTTTGTTAGTCTCACTCCAGGTAGATTAATTTTCTGTAATTCGGTATTTACAGTATTGGCTAGCGTGACTGGGCTCGGGTGAGAGAATATAATTAAAAATAATAATTTAATGTTTAAAAATATTTACGGTAATTTCTTTATTTTCTAATTTCCAGGTAGTGATACCTAGTAGGTACCTTTCGGGGTGGCTGCTGTTGCTACTTGTGCTGAGTGCTGTGTCCCTCCCTAACACCCAGGTATGTACTCAAGGTACATTATTTACCTTGTGTATTTCTCAGTATTTTGGGCTTTATGTAATAAAGTTGGTAGAATTACCGACAATATGTAAAATAAAAGGACACAAGTGCAACTAATGTGACATTTTTATTTGAGCGAGACGTTCCCACAATAAAAATGTCCCATTAGTTGCACTTGTGTCCTTTTACTTTATTTTGGCTTTATGATCGCCCCTTGATGCTGGTGAGGGGCTCTCGATGCAAGAAATTGGACCTGTTCTCTCTCTTCCTTGTCTAGAAACCCCTATCATGTGCTTTTAACATCCTATGGAGAGGAAGCATGGACATAGGGGTCGTCCCAAAGCTGCTAAAAACAACAGAGATAGCCCCACTTCACAAAGAGGGCAGTAAAGCAATAACAAAGAACTACAGACCGATAGTGCTAACTTCTAATGTCATAAAATTTTTTAAAAGGGTTCTAAGAAGCTAGATCACCACCCATCTAGATACCCAACACTTACACAATCCAGGGCAACCTGGGTTTAGAGTAGGTCGCTCAAAACGCAGATGTAGTATGCACAGACTTTGTAAACGCCTTTGACAAGTGTGACCATGGTATAATAGCACACAAAATTCTTGATAAAGAAATAACAGGAAAAGTTGGTAGATGGATCTATAATTTCTTAACAAATCGAAAACAAAGAGTAGTAGTCAACAGATGAAAGTCTGAAGCGGCTACTGTGAAAAGCTCTGTTCCACAAGGCACAGTACTCGCTCCCATCCTATTCCTCATCCTCATATTTGGCATATTGAGGGATGTAAGCCACAGCACCATGTCTTCCTTTGCAGGTGACACCCGAATTTGCATGACACTAAGACTCCAGGCGGACATCAACCAAATCTTTAAATGGGCCGCAGAATGCAATTTCTCATCATTGGATGAGAAATTTCAGTTACTTCGATATGGAAAATGTGAGGAAATTAAAACTATATCGGAGTATACAACAAATTCCAACCGCACAACAGAGCGAAAAACTAATGTAAAAGACCTGGAGTGATAGCGTCAGAGGAAACTCACTTTCAAAGACCACAAACATTGATTAATCGCGTCTGCTAGAAAAATGACAGGATGGATAAATTTGAATCTTCAAAACTAGGATGCCAAGCCCATGATGACACTACAGGTTGCTTGTTCTATCTAGGCTGGAATATTGCTGCACACTAACAACACCTTTCAAAGAGGTGAAATTGCTGACCTAGAAAATGTACAGAGAACCTTCATGGCACACATAACTGCGATAAAACACTTTAACTGGGATCACTTGAAGTTTCTCAGCCTCTACTCCCCAGAATGCAGGCGGGAGAGATACATGATTATATATACACTTGGGAAAATCCTAAAAGGGATTAATTCCAAATTTGCACACGAAAACCAATTCTTATGAAAGCATAAGACTAGGCAGACGATGCAACATTCCCCCAATGAAAAACCCGGGGCGGGCCCCTAGCACGATATGAGACAACACAGTAAGTGTCAGGGGCCCAGACTTTTCAACTACTTCCCAGGATACATAAGGGGGATTACCAATAGACCCCTGGCTGTCTTCAAGAAGGCGCTGGACAGACACCGAAAGTCAATACCTGACCAGCCGGGCTGTGGTTTTACATGCCAGGTTGCATGCGCCCCAAAAGTAACAGCCTGGTTGATCAGGCCCTGGTCCTCCATGAGGCTTGGTCACGACCGGGCCGCGGAGGCATTGACCCCCGAAACCCTCTCCAGGTATTACCCATCCTGTGGGCAGCAATCGCTCAGTTTCCTTCCTATGAGCGGCACTCGCTCCGTATCCATGATTGGAGGTACCCACTCCATGCCCATGCTGTAACAGTAGTCATCCATTAGTCTCCTCTTGGCGGTCAAAAGATTACCAAGGTGCAGGAACTTTGCCCCAACATTTTGGGAGTTAAGCAAGTTATAGTGGTAGTGCATTATTTAAAAATTTATGAATTATTTACAATAGCAAAAGGGCGCGTTTGTAATCAATGAATTCAGCCACCAAAACATTGCAATGTAACTAAAGTGTGATTTTAAGTTGTTTACAATACTTCCATGAAAGAGCAGAGTTTGTCTAGCTTACTCCGTTTTTCATCTCAGGAGTCATTGACACTGTACACAAATAACCCGCACATAAAGACAGAAGCTTACGACGACGTTTTTTGGTCCGACTTGGACCATTGACAAAGTCACACTAAAAAGAGGTGGAGCAGGACGGCTATATATAGGCAGGAAGAGGGAGGTAGTAGTAGTGGTATAGTATAGTAGTAGTAGTACAAGAATTGTATATATACCGACAGGATGAAATGTAATGCACAACACCGGGCATCCCCCCTAGACGTTCCCCTCGCAGCCACTGGATGGCGAAACGTCCACACGAAGACAAAGGACGCCCCACATGTGTCTAATTTATCAGTAGATGTATAAAGAAGAAGGGTGTATAGTGGTAGTGTAGAATGGGAATAAGGAGACGAGCAGTCAAAACAAAGGAGGGGAGCATTGCAAGAAGCAGAAACCCACAGGGGAGAGCAGCGCACCGAGGTGCGTGAAAGGGAAGGTGAAATAAATAAAGAGGAAAGAAACACGAGACAGGAGAGAAAGACACCCAGAGAAAAGAGAGAGGAAAGGGAGAGGAAGAAGAAAAGAAGAGAAAAGAAAAATGAGGATTCAGGTTAGTAACGAGTGTTCTGAAGTTTGGAGCATTTTACAATGTATGGGAGAGGAAGACAATCTACGAACGAGCCCGGGAAACTAAGGTAAAAGGAGTGATAAGATGAGGATTCAACTTTAAACGCAATTGTATTAATCCTCTCTGTAAAAAACATAATATTTCCTTGGATGAAGCCATAGCCCTGGCTTGTTTTTCTGTAGATTTCTCCCATACCCCTTACATGGTGAATTGCTCCAAAATTCAGAAACCCGGACCATAACCCGGAAAAACACATTTATCTGGATCGCTTCTGTTTTCAGCCTTCCTCTTCCCAATTGCCTCCTGATTTTATCCTTGGTTGTCTTTCCTTTGACACGGGTTCTTTCCTTCTTATTGTATTTCACCACTTCGACCCTGCAAAATGCACCTCGGTGCGCCACTCCCATATGTGGTATGTCAGGGCTCCGACTTTCACTACTTCCCATACATAAGGGTATTTGACTGGCTGTCTTCCTAAGAACTCTACCACTAAAGTCAATACTACCGCGGCTTGGTTCTACACGCCAGGTGACATAGACACAGTAACGGGCCTGGTTGTCTTTGTGTGGACGATGTGCTTCCAGAGTGGCGCTGGATGGCGAGAAACCCTCTACGGTGGGAAACCTGTTTGGGGATGTGTCATTTCCTTTCCCATGAGCGGCATTCGTATCCATTCTTGTACACTATCCCCACTAACAGTATACATCCTTCCATCCTCTCCTGCGGTAAAAATTAATAGACGTTGCTCCAAATTTCAGTTAGTGGTGCTTTTAAAATGGTCAAGTCGGAACCGTTAAAGTCATGATTCGAAAACTTCTGTCTTTTAAGTGCGGGGTTTATTTGTTTAATCTTCCAGTAACGGAGATTGTAGCTTTCTCGTTATTTATTTATTTAGTCATTGACACTGGACACTAACACTTTTATTTCCTTCCTTTCAACACACCGGCCGTATCCCACCGAGGCGGGGTGGCCCAAAAGGAAAAACGAAAGCTTCTCCTTTTACATTTAGTAATATATACAGGAGAAGGGGTTACTAGCCCCTTGCTACTGGCATTTTAGTCGCCTCTTACAACACGCATGGCTTACGGAGGAAGAATTCTGTTCCACTTCCCCATGGAGGTAAGAGGAAATAAACAAGAACAAGAACTAGTAAGAAAATATTAGAAAACCCAGAAGGGTGTGTATATATAGGCTTGCACACGTATGTGTAGTGTGACCTAAGTCTAAGTAGAAGTAGCAAGACGTACCTGAAATCTTGCATGTTTATGAGACAGACAAAAGACACCAGCAGTCCTACCATCATGTAAAACAATTACAGGCTTTCATTTTGCACTCACTTGGCAGGACGGTAGTACCTCCCTGGGCGGTTGCTGTCTACCAACCTACTACCACTTTTATTTATTTATTTATTTATTTATTATTATTTGGACATGATACATAGTTGTACAAAAGAAATACAGTGGTCCCTCGTTTTTCGTAATTAATCCGTTCCTGAAGGAGCTACTATAAACGAAATTTACGATTTGCGAATCAATTTTCCCCATAAGAAATAATGTAAATACAATTAATCCGTTTCTGACACTCGGAAGTATTAAAACAAAAAAAATTTTTACATGAAATATACATGTAGTACATAAACAATACAATGGGAAATGATGAATGAAACATTAACAGCATAACACTTACCTTTATTGGAGATTCTTCTTAGTGTATGGGAGACTGGAGGAGGAGATTGGATTGTTTACAGTTTGGAAGGGGAATCCCCTTCCAGCAACACCTCAGGTACCAATTGCTTCTCTGGGGTTGCTTCTCTTCTCTGTTTCTTAATGCCACTAGGACCACCTTGAGAGTCACTCCAGTCCTGTCTCGCAAAGTAACTGTGGAGAGAGCTCTGTTTCTGGCGTCTCTTTAACACTTCCCTAAAATGGCCTAAGACTTTGTCACTGTACATATTTCTTACCTTCTTTACCACAGGCTTGGCACTAGGAGCTTTCTTTGGAGCCATGGTAGCTTATTTAGTACTTGCAAGCACTAAAATGAGTGGAATATTATGAAATATTTCGTAGGAGCACTTGAGGGGACCTTCAGTCACTGGTAAACAATGCCAGATTGGCTGGTAGGGAGGCTCCCCGGCTTCACACCGGTTGTACCCGTCCTGGACGAACTACTATTCGCGAGTCAACCTATGAAAAGCGAGTCCATGTTTATACGAAAATACCCCTATGATTGGCGAAATTTACGATTGCCGAGAACTACGAAAAACGAGGGACCACTGTACAGTGGTTGAGTGTGCATACCAAAAGCCGCTTGTATGCAGAGCATTGTGGGCAGGCTTAAAATTAACTAAGCAATGGCATATTCAGTGGTAAAAATACAGTAAACAAATTACAACATGAAGTACAAATGAGTATTTCAAATAAGAGGCTTTATAGTTGTACAAGTTTGTAGCACATTTGATGAGTTACTGAGCATTCAAGAGAATGGAGCATTCTATTAGGTAATGTAATTGCAAGAAACATAGTTTGAGATACAGTTAATCAGTATTTATTTAGTTGTGGGTGAGTAAGTGGTTTTTAAGAGTCTTGAATTGATAAACAGACAGTGTTTCTTTTATATTCACAGGTAATGAATTCCGGATTTTTGGGCCTTTTATGTGCATTGCTTTTTTACACAGTGTGAGATGGACACGAGGAACATCAAAGAGTGATCTGTGCCTTGTAAGTAAGTAAGTAAGTTTATTCAGGTATACACAAATACAGTTACATAGAATTATCATACATAGCAGCATATGTGTAGAGAACCTAGGATAACCCAAAAAAGTCAGACAGAGTGACTTATTTCCATTGGGGTCCTTTTACCTTATTATTATAATATAAAGGTTATAATATTTTCTTATTATTCTATAATGAAGATAACATCTTATTATCATACTAAAAAGACTATCTACTACACGAGGGTCACTAAAACTATCTACAATACGAGGATCATTACTAGGAATAAGGTAAAATTTACACGTATGTTAGCTAAAAAATAGAAAATCATTCCCCTCCCTTTCTGTAGCTACATTCATCAGACACCTTTTGGCACTCTTCTTGAACTGGTTCATGCTATGACTGGCTTTGACGTGTGCGGTTAGTCTGTTCCATTCCTTTATTGCTGTACAATAAAAGGTGTTTGAAGCCTGGCCAATGACTGTGGGTACTACAAAGTTGTGCTCTTTCCCCCTAATGCTATGATTGCTTTGGTTCCCAACCTTGACAAAATTGACAGCAAGATATTCTGGACACTGTTTGTGAGCAATTTTATAAACAAGATTCAGCTTCAGTTGTTTTACTCTGTCTTCAACATTCATGTGGTCATGTGTTCTGTTGAGGTTGGTAAGGAGAAGTTTGAGGGGAGGGTTTATATCCGAGTTAAGTGTTCTATGTATGTAGTAGGTACAATAATAAGTATGGATGTTTTGTATGGTGAGTAAGTTTAGAGTTTTGAATATTGGTGGAGTATGCTGCCTGTAGTGGGAATTTGTTATCATTCTGACTGCAGCCTTTTGTTGGATAATTAATGGTCTGAGATAGTTTATTGTTGTTGAGCCCCATGCACAAATTCCATAGATGAGATAGGGGTAAATGAGTGAGTGATATAGGGCCAGGAGGGCTAACTGTGGAACATAGTTCCGTATCTTCGATAGTATGCCTACGGTCTTGGAGATTTTCTTGGAAATGTGTTGTATATGTGTTTGAAATTTGAGTCTATTATCAAGATGGATTCCTAAGAATTTTCCCTCTGTGAGCTTTGTGATATGTGATCCCTTTATCATTATGCTAAGAGGGACATCTGTGGTTCTGTTTCCAAACTGTATGAAGAAGGTTTTGTTAATATTGGGAGTAAGTTTGTTAATCATCATCCAGGTAGATATTTTCTGTAATTCGGTATTTACAGTATTGGCTAGCATGACTGGGCTTGGGTGAGAGAAGACGTATGTAGTGTCATCTGCAAATAGTGTGGGTTTGAATAGTTGCGATGCATTTGGTAAGTCGTTTATGTAAATGAGAAAGAGAAGAGGGCCAAGGACACTTCCCTGTGGGACACTAATAAATATACTACATAGAGAGTCAGATTTCATCATTTCAATGCAATGTTGTATTAATTTTTCAACATATACAATGTTTTTTTTATTATATACACCGTTGATATTTAACCTAGAGGTAATGAATAGTTTTTGTTAATTTCATTAAAAATTTTATGATAGAGCTTGCGTTCATTATGATAATATTCACGGGTAAGCACTAAACCCGTAGGTGAGGTAATTAGGTTAAATCTGAGGAGTGGAAGACAGTTCCAATAGCTACTTACCATCGATAACTTTTCACCAGCATCAAGGTCTTCTCCTCACTCCCCTTCCCATTTTATGGTTTTGCATACAGATATGGTTTTCTGCATGGATTCGTGTGAGACCTTATTTTATGTCGAATTTCTCAACAGGCAATGAATGATGCGAGTGAAGATGGCTCAGTGAAGTTATCAGAGTGGACGTATCAAGTGTGGCATCAGACTGCATCTCTCCTGCCTGCACTAACACATTTCTACCACTCGCACACACTCGTCATACATCAGCCTAATAAGTGTGAGTTTACGCATGTGCTATATAAAAAAAAGTGGGTGTGTGGTATGTATGTTCTTATGTGCTTGTGTGTAGGTATGTTTTTACGTATTACGTATTTGGTGTGTATTTTTCGTGGTATGAATGACTTCACGTTGTATGTATGGTTTTGTGTGGACTATGTTACCGTGTGGTGCTGGACAGGCACCTAAAATCAGTACCTGATCAGCCGGGCTGTGGTTTGTACGTCGGTTTACGTGCGGCCAGCACTAGCAGCCTGGATAATCATGAGCCCTGGACACAGACCAGGCCGTGGGGAGCTTTGACCCCCGAAACCCTCTCCAGGTAAACTCCAGATGTAGTATATTTTCGTGGTACATGTGTTGGTTTCATGTGGTATACATGTGTTCATATGGTATGCATGTTTTCGTGTGTATGATAAAATGCATCTGTCGCCAAGTTGAAAATAACTTTTTTGTATGTTTTTTTTTTTCAGATAACACTACGCCAGATAATCAAATCTGGCACTTCAAGTGGATCCAGCGATACAAGACACAACCAAAAGTTGACATCTTATTACACACCTCTGTTGAAAACTGCAAACTAATTCTACATTTGCAGAACAGCTCCAAAATTACCTATAACATTTCCTTTCTCAAAAACGTTATTCAGAGTTCTTCTATGCATGTGGGGGAAGAAAAAATATTTAACTTGGAAAAAAGTAAGATCAGTTCAGTTACAGGAGAATGGTGGGTAGCTGATGTGACAAAATACTTGACTGACTGGCTGCTGGACTTTTCAGAGTTTTCAGTGGAATTTGGAATAAGCAGCCCACGAGAAGGCACAATATACATCGGTCAGCAGGACCTTAGGCCTAGCCCACAGCCTGTAGTGTGTGTTCATGAGTCTGGTATTCAACGATTTAAAGAAGCTGATCACATAAAAGCCATTATAAAGAATTTCATTGAAAGCGAAAGTGAGAAAATGAGGTTGAACAGTTTCAATGGAAGTGATAATGGAAACATTACTTTTCAGAAAGTGGCAAGTAAAGCAAAACATACAAGAAAACGCCGGGAAACTACAGGACAATGCCAGGTAAGCCTATTATTATTACATTAACCCTTTGACTGTTTCCGACGTATAAATACGTCTTACGAGCCAATGTTTCTGACGTATTTATACGCACAAATTCTAGCGGCTTCAAATCGAGCGCCAAAGGCCTGGTAGGCCTACACGGGAGAGAATGGGTCTCAGTGGTCGGTGTGCACCCTGTGAAAAAAATCTGGGACCTAGCGGTGCATTGTGGGAACGCCATGTTGTCAGTCCATTTTCACCAGCCTCTCGGTAAGAAGTTCCTCACTCCTCGGCGGATTGGAGGTCTTTTGTTCCCAAGTGATAGCTCTAACAGCGATGAAAGTGTCAGTGACAGTGAATTCAAGGGTTTTCAAGTGAGTGTTACCGAAAAAAGTGCCCAGGATAACGTAAATAGTGACGAAAACCCAGATGACCCACAACCTTCGACCTCTGGTGCTGTGCCGGCTTGTTCACGTTCACGTTCGCCTGTACCAGGACGAAAGAGGAAACTATTTGGTCGTGTACAACACCCTGATGATAGCAGTGATAGTGATAGTGATTTCAAGGTCATTAAAAGCAGTTCTAGTGACAGTGAGAGTGAATATTCCCCAGTGAAGCGCCAGTATGTACGACGTAGCATGCGGTCTGGTAGTGTTTCATATGTTGTTCCAAGGGGAAGGAGAAACTCTGGGAGCACATCCCGTGGCCCAACACCACGACCTGATAGTGAAGATGACGATATTGTAACGATGGGTATGAAGGTGACAGTGAGGGAGGAGGCAGTGGTGGTGATAGTGAGGGTGGCACGGCCCATGTGGCACCATCACCGGGCCACACTACTAGCCACGGGCTGACTCAGCAGAACAACCAGCCTCACCCTACCCCACACTGCCCAACCTGCACCACCACAACCTGCACAGCCACAACCACGGTACAATATCCAGACCCCACCAGCAGACCGCATCTGGGATTGGCAGGACGGTGACGAGTTTGTTCCCAGTCCCCATGACTTTGATGAAACACAAAGTGGAATAAAGCCATCTTGTCCACTTGGGAACAATGCCAGTGAACTGGACTGCTTTGAGTTATTTTTCGATGAACCCCTGATGGACATCATTGTCAGGGAAACAAATACATACTGTGATTACACCATGGCAAATACAATTCTCTCACCAAAATCACGGCTACACAAGTGGAAGGAGACAACTGTGGCAGAGATGTACCTGTTTTTTGCCACAATAATGCTTATGCCACATGTGTATAAGCACACTGTCACCACATACTGGACAACAGATCGCCTGATTTCAACTCCAGGTTTTAGTGACATTATAGGTGTCAATCGTTTCCTGATACTGTTGCGTATGTTACACTTTTCAGACAAAACCAGGCCTGACAGAAGCGACAGGTTATATAAGATAAGAAATGTGTTTATGTACCTGAAACAAAAGTGCTGCATGTATTTTTATCCCTTCAGGAAGCTTGTTATTGATGAGTCCTTGATTTTATTCAAAGGAAGACTCTCATTCAAGCAATTATATACCAAGCAAGAGGAAACGCTTGGTATAAAGCTATTTGTACTGTGTGATTGCAGAAGTGGTCTTGTTTTAGATATTATTGTGTACACTGGCAGTAATACTTTGAGAGATACCATGAAGTTATTGGGTATCTCTGGTGATGTGGTTCGAACAATGATGGAACCATATCTTGGTAAGGGGCATATGTTATTTACTGATAACTGGTACACAAGCCCTTACTCAGTGATTTCTTGCGAGTGAACTTGACAGACGTGTGTGGCACAGTGCGTGGTAATCGCAAACATATGCCAAGGTTCGACGCTGGCACTCGCAGAGGTGAGGTGCAAGCCTTTGCTGCCAATGACATCATGGCATTTTGGTGGCATGACAAACGTGATGTCACATTGTTGACATCAGTTCACACAAACGAAATGGTACCCAGTGGGCAGGGACAACAGAGAGACCAATGAACCCATTCTAAAAGCCTGCAGCTGTCATGGACTACAACCTCAAAAATGCGCTTAGCGGACAAATGTGACATGCAGATTGGGTTTGCAGACTGTGTACGCAAGAGTTAAAGTGGTATATCAAACTTTTTTTCCATCTTGTTGATATCTCTATGCTAAATGCTTATAACATATACAAGTTGAAGACCAACAAAACACCAAAATATGGTGAATTTTGCCTGTCAGTAATCAGACAAATAATTGCAAAGTACAAAGGAGCAACTCCTGCAATAGACCAGCGCCCACAGACGTCATCTCGTATGAGGCCTGGTGATCACTACCCCATACAACTGCCCCTACTACTGCCCAAGAAAAATGCTCAGAGAGGTGTTATGTATGTATGCATACCACAAAACCCCCACAAACACGAGAGACACTCTTTTATGTGTGAGGAGTGTGAAGTGCCCCTCTGCATATACCATGTTTCAAAAAGTTCCACAAGCGCAGCAGTTTTAGGAACTTTGGTTTTGTGACTGTACATATGTATATATATTATGGAACAATAGTAATAAACATTGTTTTGTATTGTTTGTTTGTGTAAACAAAGTGTATACACAAACTAATAGTGATAAAGTTTGTTCTGTTATGGGGTTGTAAATAATGAGTGTATATTTGAACAATGCACCTTACATTGGTCTCACAGGCCACATAAGTTACCTGGAAAAGAAAAATATTGAAAAATGCAAGAAAACCTTTGAATTAGAGTAAATAAAAGAATACCGGGTGGGCGGCAGTCGCCGCTGTTGCCGTACGCACGTCAATTTCTGCAAACTTTGCGGCTCTATATCTCGGGAAGTACTGATGGCAAAATTTTTTTTTAGGCTTAAAACAACTGTAAAAAAAATTTCCCAACATTTTATAAGAAAAAATAATTTTTTTTTTTTCGAATATTTGGCGACATAGAATGACAGTTTCAGAGAGGGCCCTGAAACAGTCAAAGGGTTAATAGGGGAGTGCTAAACCCATAAGGGTCATATAGCGCCTAAAGGAATGGGATGCATTCAAGTTCGATCCATGGAAGGGGAGCACAGGTCCAATTCCTTAGATCAAGAGCCCCTTCACTGGCATCAATGAACCTCCCTTGAGGGGACAGGTAAGAACTATAGTGGAACCTCAGTACTCGAACTTAATTCGTTCCAGAAGGATGGTCAAGTGCCGATCTGTTCGAGTACCGAATGAATTTTTCCCAACCAATTTTCTTTCTTGTTGGTGTTATCACTAATCTTCTTAGGCCCCCTGGTGATTTTTTTTTATAAAGTCCGGCCCTCTCTCACCGAGGCAGGGTGACCCAAAAAGAAAATATTTTCATTTATCATTCAACACTTTCACCACACTCACACATAATCACTGTTTTTGCAGAGGTGCTCAGAACACAACAGTTTAGAAGCATTACGTATAAAGATGCACAACCTATCCCTCCGAACTGCCCAAAACCAGAACCCCCTTTAGAGTGCAGACATTTTACTTCCCATTTCCAGGACTCAAAATCCGGCTGTATAAAAATAACCAGTTTCCCCGAATCCCTTCACTAAATATTACCCTATTCACACTCCCAACAGATCGTCGTCCCAAATACCATTCTTCTCCATTCACTCCTATCAAACATGCTCATGCACGCCGCTGGGAAATCCAAGCCCCTCGCCCACAAACCTCCCTTACCCCTTCCTTCCCAAACCCTTTTTGAGGATGACCCTACCCTGCCTTCCTTTCCCTACAAATTTAAACACTCTCCATGTTATTCTACTTTGATCCATTCTCTCTAAATGACCAAAAATACCTCAATAACCCCCCTTCAGCCCTCTGACTATACTTTTATTAACTCCAACCTTCTCCTAATTTCCACACTCCGAATTTTCTGCATAATATTTACACCACACATTTGCCCATAGACAGGACATCCACTGCCTCCAACCGCCTCTCGTGCTGCATTCACAACCCAAGCTTCACACCCATAAAAGGGAGTTTGGTACTACTATACTTTCATACATTCCCTTCTTTGCCTCCATAGATAATGTTTTTTTTTGTCTCCACATATACCTCAACACACCACTCATCTTTTTTCCCTCATCAGTTCTATGATTAACCTCATCCTTCATAAATCCAAATAATGCGAATACAAAATGGTTTACAGCGAAGTTCCTGCGGGTCACGCTTGTTTGGTCGAGTGCTGAGCAAATGGTTGACTACTGAGCGATTTTTTTTACCGAACGAAGCATTCGAATACTGAATTGTTTGAGTAGGGAGCTGTTCAAGTACCCCCCTCAAGGAAGGTTCCTTGATGTTGGTGAGGGGCTCTTGATTTAGGGAATTGGATCTGTGCTCCAGTTCCCCGAATTAAGCCTGAATGCCTTCCACAGCCCCCTCCCAGGCGCTGTATAATCCTCCGGGTTTAGCGCTTCCCCCTTGATTATAATAATAATAATGTTCAAGTACCAAGGTTCCACTGTAATAATAATAATATAATCAATTTAATCACTAAACTTATGGGGAATTTTTTAAAAATTATTAAACCTATGAGGAATTTTTTTTAAAGACTAGAAGGCACTTTACCTTCACTTGGGTTGAGTGGATGCTTACAAGTACAATCACTCAATGAATAAAAGTTAATTATACCTTATCCTAAAGTTACTTAAATATAGCCAGTCCACGCTCTACTATATCCTTCTGCAGCCCTCCTCTGGACATATTCCCCGTAGTTCTTGGACTGTTAATTAATATAAGGAGTGTTGCTCCTATAGTGATATTACTTCACTGAATTGATCATGAAAGCTTGAACTAATATTCGTGGAACTTTTTATATTTATTTGCACTGCGTTAATAGTTTAAGTATTTCTTGGATCAATTTTGTTCCTGTTACGTGACAAACAGTATATACATTAATAAACAGATTTTACTGATGTCTGCCTGATTGTTACCTTCGTTTTCCCCCATCATAACCACAACTAGAAGGATTACAGCTATTAGTTAAAATTGGAAAACTAAGGGCCACTTTCCATTGATGTAGAATGTTTGTAGCTATCAGGGCTCCAAGATGGGATCTTGAGGAAGTCCTTGTGATGGATTCTTCTGGCCTCAAAAATAATGATCTTGTTCTTCTATAGTGGTACTTGTCACATATGTATGTGAATTGTTGATTAAAGAGCCATAATAATTGATATTATTTTATTATATTATCACACTGGCCGATTCCCACCAAGGAGGGTGGCCCGACCGAAAAAAAAGAAAATCTTTCACCTTCTTTTCCACTCCAGCACTGTCTTACCAGAAGGGTGCTTTAACTACTGTTTTTAAACTAGCAACATTAACACCCCTCCTTCAGTGCAGGCCTGTACTTCCATATCAGGACTCAAGTCAGGCCTGCGGTTTCCCTGAATCCCTTCATAAATGTTACTTTGCTCACACTCACAGCAAGTCAGGTATTAAAAAAACCATTTGTCTCCAGTACTCCTATCAAATACGCTCACGCAATGCCTGCTGGAAGTGCATGGCCCCTAGCACACAAAACCTCCATTACCCCCTCCCTCCAACCTTCCATAGGCCGACCCCTTCCCAGCCTTCCTTCCACTACATGATACACTCTTGAAGTCCATTCTGTTTCGCTCCATTCTTCTACATGTCGAACCACCTCAACAACCCTTCCTCAGCCCTTGGACAATCAGTTTTGGTAATCCCGCACCTCCATCCTAACTTCCAAAACTACGAATTTCTGCATTATATTCACAACCACACATTGCCTCAGAAGACATATCCACTGCATCCAGCCTTCGCCTCGCTGCAACAGTCATCACCCACGCTTCACAACCTTATAGTGC